GCTCAAAAGAGCAACAATTTTTTTGGCGTGGCATCCACAAATTGTCAGACAGGTGGGAAAAATGTATAGCTAGCGATGGGCAATACTTCGAATAAAACATTTTTTATCATTTTCATGCAATAAACGTGTATTTTCTATTAAAAAATTCCAGTTTCATATTTACATACCTGGTAGATGTTATTTAACATATTTTATTTTGTTTTTAATAACAATTCTTTATGAACCTTTAAATATTTCATCGAAAATCCGCAACAAAAAAGTGTATTATATTAAATATATATATAAAATTTTTATTTTTTTCGAAAAACTATCGTAATAAACTGAATTTAACGTGTTTATTCTTTTTTATATTCATTTCATTTCTATTTGCTTTTTTGAAAATTATGATTAAGTCCATAATTTATAATGTTCTCAAATCTATCAAACTTAATCAATAATATACGATGTTATTAATTGTAATTTTAATTGGGGTGTAAAACATCTTGGATGATCGGTTACGTAAGAATAATTAATTTTATTAATTTTGTTAATTTTTCTATCGAAAATTCTTCTTTGAAATGTTTTCTAAAATGTTTATCAAAAAATTAAAGGCTCTGCTTTAGCAAGACAGATAGTAATAAAATACAATATTTTGTATAATATATATTTAAAAAATTATATTGCAAAACGGTCAACTTTACAGCAATAAAAATTTAATTAATGCTAAATATTAATAATGATTTCGACAGAAAATTAGATCAAAATATATTTTACTATATTCACTTGCTCATACAGTTCTCTTTAATAAGAAAATTAGTTTAATTAATTTTAATTAACATGATTTTCATCGAATGCGATTTTTGGCATTATGATGAAATATAGATTGAAAGAAATTAGTGGTTACACCAATACATCCGTGATATTAAATTGTGTAATATTGATGCAGTCCACAAGCTCAAAAAATGTTTCCAAAATATCCCTCTTTAATCCTCATCAGCCCGTAAATTCAGTCGATCACGTATTGCTCATTATTAAAACATTCATCGCCGAAATCGCTCAATCGAACGCGCATTTTTAAGAATTGCGATCGTTAATCGCTCTCATATATTCTATTAAACGTGTCGCGATTATGTATTCTCACTGGATTCGAAATCGATCCGAAATTTTGTATTATTATGTATCTAATTTTTTCCTGTTAATTTAACGCTCATTGAAACAGGATTTTTGATGATAAATATACTTAACTATATGCTTTCTAAGTTTTCATGATGCGATCGGCGATTAATAATATCTTCAGAACCTAATTATCGATTACGAATGTTCGCTATCGCGAATAATCAGACTTATTTTTGTTTCTAATGAATTAAGAAAGAACGGGAACATCACAGTCGTATAGAGGATGTATAGTAAAAGTCCGTTCGTATTTATGAAGGCGAATTTTTCCTATGGTATGTATGACTTTCGAGTGATATACGAACAGACAGTTACAATGACTTAAAAAATTCGTTCCCCGCAAGAGGAGGAAAATTATTGTGTGAATGAGTAAAATCAGGTTTAAATGATCGTATAGTAAATGAAAACTTCCTCTAAAGCCAGATTTAAATATAGCACGCGAGCGTGAACAAACTCGATTGAGATGCACTTGCTTCGATAAATGTAAACAATATCGCGTTGATCGCGTTGGCGCACATTCGTTCGCGCACGTTCATTCGGCTTAAATCTGGCTTAAGAGAGTATGCGCTTAATTTCTAATTTCCTCAGTATTGAAAGAAACATTGAGAATCAAAGTGCTTCGCAGCTGCGAGCTGCATTCAATTTTCAAATTATGATTAAAATTAAATTGTAACGATAAATAGAGATTACATGCACTTAAAACGCATATTTACTTAAATCGAAATAATGTTAATAAATCGTAATGTCTTTGCGCAACGAGCTATCCCACAAAAATTTATTTATACTTCTCCGAAAGTAAAAATTCTTCTTGGAAGAATTAGTTGTCGACTGTAACTTACCCACGTAGGCTACTACTGGCAATTTAGCCACGCAGCCAATTAATCCCACTTCTCCTGTTTACGGTACGGGCGACGAGTTCCTGATGAATGACATCGTCCGTACGGTCGTTTCTCTTGCACGCTGTTTAGACGTAAAAGTATTTCACCGCTGATGCTTTCTCCTCGAAATAGTCGACGTGACGCGAACGAATGAGATAGAATGAGAAAGGATGCGTAGACAAATTTAAGACTTCGTGTCCCGGTCGGATAATAGACTTGAGTAACACACTCCCTCCCGACAAATTTGTCAACGAGGTCGTCACTTTCTTCGGTGAGTTGAGCTATTGGCGACTCTGGATGGCTCTCGATCTTAAAGTTGCGGTTCGTTGTAAATTGAGCCAGGACTCGTCCGCGTGGTCGCTGTGACTGCCTTTTCTTAATGCGAGCTTCCGCCGCCAACGAAGAGACAACTCGTGAACAACAGCAGTAACAGCAACAGCGGGGGCGAAAGCGTGATACCTTTAATGAAAAAAAAGAACGATTTCACAATTACTTTGACTTGTGAACCCGATAATACAACTCTTCATCATCAGGATCAACTTTCCTTTTTTCCTTCTTTTTTCGCAATTGACCCCGTGGAGAGAGCCGTGCGGTGGCGTTATCGATCCACGTCTGGCCTGCATATGGAACCACGCGCGTGATAACTCATGTTAACGATGGCATAAATAGTAATATACATATCGCACGTTTTGTTCATGTTTACTCCTCATGTACTTTTTTTTATTGCCGCACGTGGAGCGCGAAGTGGAAAAAATGCAGAGCGTGGGGGAGCCGTTGTGACGTAATAGAAACGCCGTAATATTTTTACAAAATTGTACATATATGTTACGGACAATATGACTAAATGCGAAAATTTTTTCCGATAATCATTACAAATGAAAAAATTCCCCAGATTCTATAGCTCAGTCGTTCATGTACCTATGTAAAACAACGTTAAATACGATAGGTGAGTCAATAAGTAGTCTTAAGGTTTCGTTTTATTAATTAATAAATAATAGCATATATTTAAACATGAATGATGTATAACTATAAAAGAAGTACATAAAGCTATTCTCACAGCTATGACAAACTATCAAATTAATAATATAGTTGGGTAAGTGCGGGTAATACGCCAGTGTGGGGAATATGCCACACGTTTTGTTTTACAATGATACCGATTAGCAGCGCTTGCGTCAGTGCTACAACATTGTGTATAATTGTGTGCTTAACATATTACATAAGTAGCAACCATTTCCTGGCAACAATATTGTTTTTATGAGGTAAATATGACGGCATGGTATACGAAAATGTGCTTCTTATAACTTTTATAGTACTTTATGTAAGTTATTATTTAAACATTACACAATATTTAGCTCGATTAGCTTGTTAATCTATTAGAGTAGGTTAAAATGAAAATATTCAGTACATCGTTGAATCATTTTCTTAACAGTCGTACTGTACAGGCTCATCATAAGATGAAATGACGTCTTGGGACAATGTGCCACTACTTTTGTTGGGGTTAAATGCCAGTAGGCATTTTCTCTAATAAGTAATAATTATATTCGGACTCTCAATTTTCAAATAAATTAAAAGTATGACTAAAGTAGGCTAGTGAGAGTCTGGCAACGATGAACGACGCAATGATAAGTGAAAACCATACTCAGATGTTAATTTAAAGTCTTCCGTATTTGTTAAAGTCTTCTGTATTTGGACGTTTCGACTCTCTTTGGAGTCATCCTCAGCAATAATGTTACAATATGATTGACTTACATGTTCACGACAATTAAGTTACTTGCAAATTGGCAAAGATGCAGCGTTGTTAATCTTAAGAATTTTCTCATTAGATTGATGCCTGAGTTCACAACATTAAATGATTTACTACCGTAGGACATGAAGCTAGTCGCGAAGCCATATAATAATCACAAGACATCACCAATTAAATATAATAAATTTGAATGATATCGACATCTTCAACTGTCAGTATACATTGACGTGTCGCTCGGAATTGAGTTGTTCTCGATGTAAGAGGTCAACATGTACGAAAACAATAAGACAAACTTATAAACTTCAAGATGAAATCGCATGTACATTATTCCATTCGCTAATCAAAATTGCAAAATTTAATATGTAAAAAATTAGAAACGTATAAATTAAATTAAAGATCAGAACAGTACCATATTAATAAATAACTACTATATAAACAATAATTTCTTAAAACTAATACATTTTCATCGAATGAATAAAACTTGAATAATTTGAATTAACATAAAACTTTTTCGTCACAACGAATAATTTAAACATTTTCTCTAATATATAGGTATATATACATATATATACATATATATACATATATATACAAGTATATATATATATATTATATACATTATATACATTATACATTGAATATATTGTATTTTTTTATGTGGCATATTACCCGCATGGTGGCATATTATCCAATTTTCAGCACTTTCATATTTCTTTATTTTTAATAACAAAAATGAATATATTCGATTCTAATTATACACAAATGATAGATAAAAGATGGAAGAAAAAGATCAGTA